TTCTTTAATTCCTTGGCTGTCAGACTTCCATACAGTTCAATTTTCTGGCGGTTCTGGTCATTTTTTGTTTTTAAATTTGCTGTTGTCCTTCTTTTGGTTGTGCAAGGAGGCAAAGTGTATCTACCTATGCCTCCATGTTGGCCGGAACTGATTGACTTTTAAATATAAACAAATAGCCAAAAACCACCAGACATTTGAGGAAAGCCTATAAAGTGAAACAGAAAGATCAAAACAAACAAGCAAACAGACGAAGAAAGCTGTAAAAAGTAGGACCAATGCAAGAAATAAAACATTTAAAAATTAAGTAGAAAAAGAGTGACTCTGCCAAGATATAAAAATATATTTTGTTTATAAAACAATAAATTAAAAATATGGAAATTCATAATGTGATTGTAGAAATAAAATTTGAATTGAGGCAGTAAAGTTGAAGAAAATCTCCCAGAAATTAGAACAACAACAACAAAAGAAATGAAAAACAGGTGAGAAATAACAGAAAACTAGATGGTCAGTGCACAAGGGCCGACAGTGGGCTGGATTAACAAGATTCAAAAAGAGAGAATGGAGAAAAAAATGAGGAAGAAATTACATACAAAATAACAAGAAAATTTTCAAAATGGAGGATGGGTCTTCACACTGGAAGAGCTCTCTGAGTCCCCAAAAGAGACATGCACTGAGGCAACTCAGTGTGAAATTCAGGCTTGGCTATTACAGAGAAGATGCCGAAAGCTCCTAGAGCCTAAAGGAAATGGTCTCTACCGAAGACTGGGAGTGAGGGTTACAGCAGACCTCTGATAGAGCCCTGGAATCCAGAAGCCAGTGGAGGAATAAATGCCTTTAAAATTCTGAGTGAAAAATTATTTTCAGCCTAAAATTCTATAACAAAACTATCAATCTATGAAGATAGACTGAATTAGACATGCAAGAATTTTTAACAATCAATGTACTATATTCCTTTGCTTAGGAAGATACCAGCAATGAGTTCTAGCAAAATAAGCATGTAAATCAGGAAAGAGGGAAACATGGGATTCAGCGGACAGAAAAGGAGGGAAGGTAAGTCCAGGTTCACAGGCAAGAGGAAGCTGTCAGCCCATCCTGGGTCAGGAAGAAGAGGGTGGGAGCTCATAGATAATCTGAACCATTTGCTGGTGCAATTAGCAAACAATATCAAGAAGGATTTGTAATGCCTGTTGGGCATTTGGGGAAAATTAATAATTTGAATTACAAAACAAGCAAAAATCAAGACAATTATTCAATTCAGGAAAAATGAAAAGTTGGTCAAGAAAGGGAACCTCCTTCAAAAAATTAAAAATGGAACTACCTTTTGACTCAGCGATTCCACTTATGGGAATATATCTGAAGAAACCCGAAACACCATGACAGAACGTAAGTGCCACTATATTCACTGCAGCGTTATTTACAATCACCAAGATAGGGAAGCAGCCAAGTGTCCATCAGTAGATGAGTGGATGAAATAGTTACTTGGCCTTATAAAAAAGGAGGAAATCCAACCTTTTGCAACAGCATGAACTTGGAGAACATTATGTTAAGTGAAATAAGCCAGTCAGAGAAAGATAAGTACCACATGATTTCACCTGTATATGGAATCTAATGAACAGAATAAACTAACAAACAATAGAAAAAGACACACAGATACAGAGAACAGCTGTCAGAGGGGAGGGAGATCAGAGGGTGAGTGGAAAAGGTGGAGGGATTAAGCAAAAAAAAAAAGTCATAGGCACAGACAACAGTATGGTGACTACCAGAGGGATAGAGGGGTGGAGGGAGGGAGAAGAGGGTAAAGGAGGGGTAAAAGGTGAAGGAAGGGCATTTGACTCGGGGTGGTGAACACACAGTGCAATATACAGATGAGGTATTATGGAATGGTATACCTGAAGCCTATATAATCTTATTGACCAATGTCACCCCAATAAACTCAATTAAAAAAAAAGGAAAGGAAACCTCATCAGAATAGCCAATTTCCTTGATTCTCAGATGCACGTGTTTTTACATTTTTAAAGAGTCTGAAATCAGACCACATCTTCCGGTTGAAGGCATTGCACGGTCACTGTTGGCCAGACTGCAGTCCTATGGAGCTGTCACTGCCTGCGCTTGAACTTGGTCATTATTCTCGTGTTCTGATTCCACAACACCACTCAACTGACACTTGAGTCTACAAACCATTTTAGGATTATATGAGGAAGGGATAGGAGTCCTGGTTTGTCAGAAGACCTTCTGTGGACACCTTCCGATAAGATCAAGAAAGTGCCAGCATCCAGACTTGCAGCAGCTTGGAAGGAGGTGCTGGAGAACAGAGTGGAACACTCTGTCAAAAGTGCTGTCCCTGAACCCTGGGTGGTCCAGAGAACCACGTGCTAAAACAAGCACACAAACAACAGCAGCAGGAATGAGCACTGGCAGCTGAATAGAGGAGTGATTCAGAAGATTAACTATGAATTCAAAGGCAGTTTCAAGATATTTAATTTTGCTTCAGTTTTTCTTTTTTGTATGCACAAAACTGATAGATGATTAAAAATGTCTAAACAAGAGCACTGTCAATAAGTTTACATTAAAAAATTCAAGTAATAAAAGAGTTTGGCAGCATATATTCTTTCTCAGTGGTTCATAGTACAATTGAGGGTGTAATCTAAGGCATTATTGGTAGTAGTGAACAATTCTACATATTCATAATAATGTAAATACTTCACGTTGATTGTTAATTTAAAATATTAACTATTACAAGATTAAATGACTAATATTACATAATTATAGCGGGAAGATGGGGAAAGGGAATGAGTGTGTGCTTTGAGGTGGGAGAGAATGGGGGCAGGTGAGCGGGAAGAATCCTCACCTCCATGAGGGGAAGTCAGGAGGCGAAGTCTGGGATGGACGTGTGTTTCTGAGAAATCTAATTTAAAAACATGGGCACAGAGAAACAGTTGGAGTAGTAGTTGTTATTGGGAAATGGAGTTGGCATGGGGGAGGAGTAGGTTACTTGGGTTTTTTTAAATAATTTTTCAACTCTGCATCATTACCTTAACAAAAATAAATTTTTAAATAAAATTTAAAAAAAGACTCAAGCCCATTCTGTGCTGTTTTCACGACAGATGTACACATATTCTTTTCAGGCCATATGTTCCAGCTTTTAGTTTGAGAAACCTGGTTGCTGTGAGAGACTGCAGGACGAGCTCTGGTGTCGGTTGTCTGCATTTGCGTCTCGGGTGTGTCGCTTACTAGCTTTGTGGCCTCGAGCATATTGTCCAGCTTCTCTGCCGTTGGCTTTGCTCGCCTGTAAAATGGGCAGAAGGCTGCATGTGCCCCTGGCTGTGGGGAGGATCGAAGAGAGAGGCTGCGTCAGGTCCCTGGTGCGGTGCTTGTTCCAGGCTCAGCTCGGCGCGACTTTAACTCCATTTGATTGTACACACCTGCTCCCCCCACCCAGTGGGCTTCCCGCCCTCTTAAGAACACAGCTGACCCCTTGAACTCGCCCCTATGCTCAGGGACCCCAGGCCCCAGCAAGGCCCTTTGCCCACCCTGTTCACCTGCAGCCATCTTCTGTCCAAAGCTGAGAGGGCCCTGAGTATGACAGTGGCCCCATTGTCTCTGTCCAAATGAATACCACAGCAATGTGGCTGGAGGCCAGGAGCCATTTGCCATTCCCCAGGGTCTGGGAGCAGAGGCCTGAGCCCCAGGCCTGGCATGGCGCAATGAGCCCAGCCTGCCCACGGGTCTGATGGAGGCATGATAAACTCGCCACCCTGCTCCTGATCCAGGGTCTGCAGAAGTCAGCCCCCCACCCCGTCCCACACAGCAACCGTGGTGGGGCTGTGGGCGGCCACAGTCTGGAAGGCAAAGAGCAGCCCTGCCCTCCAGCCCCGCACCCTTCTTCCCCTCTCACACCCCGGGCAGGGCTCTGCTGGCAGTGGCTTCACAGCTACAAGGAGCTTTGTTAGAACTTGAAAGCAGGTATTTTGTTTTTCCTGTGTTGGATGGGAGAGCTGCTTGCTCAGGGCTCCCTCTCCCAGGGCAGGTAGGCAGTTCATGTTTATACATGTGACCCAGAAATATCTAATGAGCCTCACACCAGGGCTGTTGCCATTGCCTGGACCTCAAGGGTGTCACAGCTTCCTCCAGCTACTCTTTCAGAGGCTGGGAGGGACTGTCAGAGAGCAGAGGCAGAACAGACGGAGGGGAACAGGAACAGCCCTCTCCTAGTGCCATGAACACTTGGGAACATAACAGTGTCCTCTGGGTCTCTGAGCAAAAGTTGTGTCCCCGAGCACATCACTCCACAACAGAGTGTGCGTGAAGCTACAGGGGAAACAGGACAGGAAGCGACAATGAGGAGCTGGAGAGGGTGGCGAGGGGGAGCCATTAGGAAAGGGGATGCCCCGGGTCCTTGAGAGGGTGGAATAAAGAAAAACACACACAGAGCCCTTGAATCAGAAATGTGGGTTCCAATCCCCGCCCTACCGCATACCAGCAGCAAGTCACACAGAGCCTGAGTTTCTTCACCTAACAACAACAGCAAACACTTAGCAGGGTTGTAGTGGGAGAATTAAGTAGATCTTGGCCTCCAAGTTTTGCAAAATCTAGCCTTTCTTGCCTCCCATGCATTGGAGGGACATCTGGTGCATCACGGAGGCACATTTCCTGATTTCTACTCGGGACTGAGTGGTCCCTGGCTGACCCGAGGAGGAAGGACCGGGAGGGCCCAGGACAGAGCCGCGTGGGGATGCAGCATGAGAGAGCTGTTCCCCCAGCCTCCCCTGACCCAGGCAGGTGGGGATGGCGTGGGGCTGAGGGGACATCCACTCCTTAAAGATCTCTGGGTAAGGAGATTTGGCAGTCCTCCAGGTCCACATGGGTGTAGTGAGAGGCACTCTGACCCTGCAGGCTGTCCCTGACCCTTTCCCAGCTTCCTGTCCCCTCCAGACCCCGACAGCTGCCTGCCCGGGCGGTGAGTAGCACAGCTGTGTGATGTCTGTGTGCTCCTCCCACAGGCTACCGAGTGGGCCTCCAATGAGGACACGCGCCGCTCCTGCCAAAGCAAAGGGAAGACTGAGGTATGTGGCCTTGGTGGTCTGGGGTCCTGGCTGTGAGCCAGCAGGAGGCTTGTGGTTTCTGGGATGGACGGGCATGTTGTGGGCACAGAGCCGCCGGCTTGGAGGCCCAGCTTGGATGAGCTGGGGCTACTGTGCAGGTCAGGCTCAGCCCTGAGCCTCTTTGTGGGCAGTGAGCAGCAAGATGGCCTGGGAGGGAGCTGTGGGGTCAGGGGATGTCCACGGCTGCCACCCGAACTTCGGAGCAGGGTGCAGGTGGAACACAGGGGAGAGCTTTGAAATGTCTGTGATGAAGCCGTGTGAAGGAAAGACACCAGTGCTGTGTCTGGAGAGCCAGCCCCTTTACCACTCCCCTTCTCGCTTCAGGAGGAGTGTCAGAACTACGTGCGAGTCCTGACCGTCACTGGCCGGAAAGTGCTCGTGTGTGGGACCAATGCCTTCTCCCCAGTGTGCTCCAGCAGACAGGTGCGGCCGCTTGGGGCGCAGCAGGCGGAAAGGGGCACCAGGAGGTTCTGCTGCCCACACACACAGCCTTGCAGGGGGGCTGCCAAATTCAGCAAACAAGGATCACAAAACAAACCCCAAAACAAGAAAGGATGCCCAGTTAGATTTAGTTTCCAATAAACAACAAATGACATTTTAACATAAGTACATTCCATGCAAGATTTGGGACATATTAGGTTGGCCAAAAAGTTCTTTTAGTTTTTTCTGTAAGATGGCTCTATTAGCGCTTATTTGTCTTTAACTTCATTTGACACAATTATATTAGAGTTTATTGTGATAGCGGTCATATCAGCATGCATTTTTTAAAAACTTATCAAAATTGATGAATTTTTGTGCAGCCATTTTAATATTAAAGATGGAAGAAAATATGCAACATTCTCAGCATATTATGATTTATTTATTTTAAGAAAAGTAGAAACACAAAAAACGATTTGTGCAGTGTGTGGAGAAGGTGCTGTGACTGATGAAATATGTCAAAAGTAGTTTGTAAAGCTCCTTGGTACTATTGACATTTTGGTCCAATAGTTCTTTGCTGTGGGGCTGTCTTGTGCACTGGAAGATGCTTAGCAGCACTTCTGGCCTCTACCCACTAGAAGCCAATAGCAGGAGGTAGCTGACATACTCAAAACATCCAAATCAATAATGTTGTTGGCGAGAATGAAAAATGTGTCTTTTATTTTACAGCAAAAACTAAACAGACTTTTTGGCCAACCTAACACACTAAAAAAATTATTTACTGTGCATCGCAATTCAAATTTGACTAGGCCTCCCGAATTTGATCAGTCTACCTTACCACACATGGGCCAGGGGCAGGTGGAGCTCCTGGCCCAGCCTCCCCTTCCATGAGGGCTGCCCCCTCACGGGGACTGTGGGCGGGCACCGAGGAGAAGCCCGGGAGGGAGAGGCCCACAAAAACCAGGGGCCCAGAAGAAAATAAAACTCCAAGATGGAAAAACACCTGGATCTCATGGAAAAGCACCCCATCTCCCTGTCATTCCCAGGTGGGGAACCTCAGCCGGACGATGGAGAAGATCAATGGTGTGGCCCGGTGCCCCTACGACCCTCGCCACAACTCCACAGCCGTCATCTCCTCCCAGGGAGAGCTCTACGCGGCCACAGTCATCGACTTCTCAGGTCGGGACCCTGCCATCTACCGAAGCCTGGGCAGTGGGCCGCCCCTTCGCACTGCCCAGTATAACTCCAAGTGGCTCAATGGTGAGGAGGCACAGCCCCAGTGGCGGGGTTCCCCTAGTTCTGACGCTCCAGCCCAGCCTGACCCCCACCAATCCTCCTTCCTGCCCAAGCTCTCAAAGGGCTCATACTTGCTTCATCAAGAGACCCAGAGTGGGGGGTGTGTTGGCCAAGAAGATGGACTGTGGCTGAAATCACAGATGTCCTGAGTACCCAGGACAGACGGAGGACAAACTATGAGGGGAAAAAGAGATTTAGCAACTAATTTGGGGGAATGGTTATGGGGAAGAAGAGATGGGGAGGGGACAGTATGAGGTTCCTGCCTGTTGGAGTTGAATCCTGCTTCTCCACCAACTGGACAGGAGGCCTTGAGCAAGTACGGACCTTTCTGTGCCACAGTGCTCTCATCTTAATGCGGGGCTAACCGCAGTGCTGACCTCACAGGTTGTTCAGAAGGTCAAATGGCTGATCCATGTAAATACTCTTGTAGTGCCTGGCGTGCAGGGAGTGCTTATAGTAATTCATGTTAACTATTATTATAACTGCGCTGTGCATTGGAGGTGGGAACTGGGTCGGTTAGAGCCCCTGGGTCACCAAGCTGGTGGAGGGCTGTCAGGATGCTTGTCTGGGGAAACGGAAGTAGTCGAGTCCTCCCCACTCTGACCCCTTCCTCCCTGCTGGCCTGGCCCGCCCCTTGCTCCTCTTCTGCCCCCAGAGCCAAACTTCGTGGCGGCCTATGATATCGGGCTGTTCGCATACTTCTTCCTGCGGGAGAACGCGGTGGAGCACGACTGCGGGCGCGCCGTGTACTCCCGGGTGGCCCGGGTGTGCAAGAACGACGTGGGGGGCCGCTTCCTGCTGGAGGACACCTGGACCACGTTCATGAAGGCCCGGCTCAACTGCTCCCGCCCGGGCGAGGTCCCCTTCTACTACAACGAGCTGCAGAGTGCCTTCCACCTGCCGGAGCAGGACCTCATCTACGGGGTCTTCACCACCAACGTGTGAGTCCCCGCCCTCTGCTGCCCTTTGCCGGTGATGCTGGGGAGACGCTCTGATCTGGTCGTGCAGGCTGGTGGGCTCAGGGAGGACCCTCTCTGAGTCTCGTTTCTTTTCCTGTACAAGGGGGATTGTTGTGTCTTCTGCACCGGGACATCTGGGATTTTGTGGCATGCGGCCTCTGCAGCCGTCAGCATTTATTCTGTATTGCTGTGAAGGGCAGGCCTAGGCCAGATACGAAGAATGAAAGGAGCTGGATTGCAGCTTCCTGAAGAAGAATTTGCTGGTGAGGAAAGTGACATAGTTGCCTCGAATAGGGGATGGCATCTCCGGAAGGGTCTGGCAGCAGCCTCTTGGGGAGGTTCAGAGGGGTTCTTTCCAGTCCCTTCCAACCTCAGGATTCCATGGCCCTGCTAACCTAACCAGCAGAGTCTTCTGGCAGTCCTGACTGCACCGGCAAGCACAGGCTGGGAGTCAGAGCCCCTAGTTTCCCAGGTGTAAGAAAGGGCAGCCCCCACAAAGATCCTGAGCCCTCCTCCTACCCCCCACCCCCCCACCCCCGCTATGTCGAGGCTGACCCAGTTAGGTGATTTTCACACAGAGAATACTGAATGGGTGGCAGAGACCAAGGAAAGCATTTGTTGTACAGGATGCTGCACAGGGTTCTTTGTAAGAACATCAGAAACACATGAGCCATAGAGGTGCTTGTGTACCTTGGGCCCCACCTAGCAGGCATTGGATGAGGGCCAGGGTAGCTATGGGGAGGACAGTCTGAGGGGCTGCCCAGGGCTGAGAGTAAACCTGGGAAGCAGGAATGGCCAGAGGGACAGAATGCAGCACAGCCCACACAGGTCAGGAGCTGACAGCCAGGCCTTAGTGACCAGCCTGGCAATCAGCACCAGAAGGGGAACAAAGGACAGGAGCCACTGGAGCAGCATCAAGAAGAAACGATGGCATTAGTGTAGATTGCAAATAGTTTGCTTTGTGTGCCTTCTCCATGCCAAGTGCTTATTGGGTGGGTTGGGGGTGGAGGGGGGATACCAGGTAGCAAGAGCAGGCCAGTCTCTTCCCTTAAGGAGCTTACATTCTAGAGAGGGTGGTTATTACATAATTTTAATTGTGATAAATGCTACAAAGGGAAAGGGTGGTGCACAGGGAAACCTCTAAAGGTATGGAGGGGTGGTGATCTGGGAAGACTTCCTGTAGGAAGTGACATCCACAAGGATAAATAAGAATTAACTCCGGGAGAGGAGCAGTCTAGCCCAAGGGAGCAACACTTGCAAAGCTTTTGGGTAGGAAGAAACGTTTGAGGAATGGAGCCAGAGCAGTGTAGCAGGAGCCTGGAGGGTGAGGAGGAGAAAGACAGGAGAAGGGGTGGAAGGGCTGGGATGGGGAGGATTATGCCCTGCAGGCCTTGTAGACTGCTTTACAGGTTTTGATCTTTATCCTAAGAGCAGTCAGTTAGAGAAGGGCTTGAAGCAAGCCAGAGACTAGCTTGGAGGTACATTTTGTACATTTTGAAACACACCTCTGGCTGCTGTGTGGAGAACCGATTAGAGGAGATGAGGCAGGCTGCAGGGAGGCCAGCCAGGAGGACAGTGCAACACCCAGAGGAGACGATGGGGCCAAGAGCAGGCAGGAATGCGCACACTGGGGAGAGGGGCTAAATGCACAGAACAGAACTGGAAATGTGGTATAGCGGTATCATCTCTGAACTGTTCACATCAGACTCAGAGACTCGGACTGTGACTGAAAGGGGTCTTGGAGGCCGTCTGGCTCAGGGCATTGTGGTCTGCAGTGTATCAGCAGTTTGGTAACCCACGTTTTTTAAAAAGTAAAATGAAATAAATAAAACAGAATAGACTAGAATAGAAATATCAGAGTATCATGTATTTAACAAGGGTTATTCTTGTTTCATAAAAATTCATTGCAGATAAGTGTGCATGCCATACTGAGTTGTGGTCTAAAATGTGTTTCCTACAGTGGCTATGGATGAAATGTTCGAAGACACCGACTTTGTTTGACCTTCCCACAGGAGAAGGGAGGGGGTGAGAAAGTAGCACAGAGGAACCCCCCAGTGCCTCTCATCAGTGGGTCTTTCATTCCCACGGGGCTTCCTCCCTCACAGGTGTTTAATCAGCCTTGGAGCAGTGCTGGGAGGTGCCCTGAGAGCAGGCTGTGGGGTTCAAGGAGGGCACTCAGACCTGCGGCAGGGGTGGGGGGCAGCGCGGCATCCTACCCTCTCTCGCCTTTCAGAAACAGCATCGCCGCTTCTGCCGTCTGCGCCTTCAACCTCAGTGCCATCTCCCAGGCTTTCAATGGCCCGTTTCGCTACCAGGAGAACCCCAGGGCTGCCTGGCTCCCCATTGCCAACCCCATCCCCAATTTCCAGGTACAACTTCTCCTCTCTTCCCTCTCTGCACACACTGCCTTTCACTGGACTACTAGCCACAAGCTGGTTCCCGAATCTGTCCCTGCTGGTCTGCACCCATCTGAGGGGTCGGTCTACAGTGGTCCCCTAAAAGGGCGGTGACCTCTAAGACTGTGGAATGAGAAAGGTCGAGGGGGTGGGACACCCAGCAAGGGAACATGCCCTGAGCCATCTGTAAATGTAGCCCTACCTCCAGGGAAGTGGGGAAGTGAGACCTCAGCTGTACTCCGTGTAGGGGACCAGGACAGCATGAATGAGCTGTGTGGCTAGAATTTGGGGATTTTAGCTGGAATCTGCTTGTAGTCTACAGGGTGTGTGCCAATGCTCAGAGGGCCTCTGAATGCTAGGAGCGGTGAGGGCACTGGGTGCCCTGGGTAGTAGGAGCACCACCCTCAGGGCTGTGATGGAGAAGGGGGAAGAGCCATGGGGCATAAGCTACTTTCACATCCATGAGACTTCCTGCCCAGGGCCAGAATGGACCAGGGAAAGAACTTCAGACTTTGCAGTCCAACAACACTAATCTGGATCTAGCCCTCTCTCTGTGTGTGACCTTGGGCATGTCACTCAGCCTCCTTGAGTCACCTTTTCTTTATTTGGCATGTAGGGATAATTTCAATAACAGATATGTGTGAGGGTCAATGCATACCTGGTGTGGTGGTTGGAATGTAGTAGGTGCTCAATGAATGGTAGTTGCCTTCCAGTTTTGGTTTGAAAGGCATAGCAACTTCAGCAGGTAGAGTCACAGGAGAGGGAAGGCAGGGCTTGGCACAACGTGAAGGGGGTGACCTACAGCAGCAGCATCTGATCACAGGACACTCATTATCCACATTCAAATGATCCATTTTTAGATAATCCAGTCCCCTTTGTATCTCCCCCTCTTCTTCCCCAGCCCTGGCTGCTCTTGCCTGCCCCATCTTCCCAGCTCCAGTTTCCCTTATTTCCCAAAAAAGAGGCATCTGTTACTGGAACAGGGTGCATGGGACTCAGTGGGAATACTGGGGGCGGGGCGGGGGTGGGTGGGTGTGGACCGAAGAATCAGAGTCTGCCAGTAACCACCTGGGTTACAATAAGGAAGGAGGGACATAGGGGATTTGGGCAGCCCCAGCGGCTGGGCACCTGTGACCCGCCTCCCCGCGCAGTGCGGCACCCTGTCTGAGGTGGGCCCCAACGAGAACCTGACGGAGCGCAGCCTGCAGGACGCACAGCGCCTGTTCCTGATGAGCGAGGCCGTGCAGCCGGTGACTCCCGAGCCTTGTGTCACCCAGGACAGTGTGCGCTTCTCACACCTCGTGGTGGACCTTGTGCAGGCCCAAGACACGCTCTACCATGTGCTCTACATCGGAACGGGTGAGCCCGACCCCGGATCTGGGCTCGGAGTGGGAGGAGGTTGAGGAGCCAGGGGCTGGGGCCCAGAGGTTTCTTCTGGGCCTTTAAGGCCACCCTCGTTTGACCCTCCCAGAGTCCGGCACCATCCTGAAGGCATTGTCCACGACAAGCCGCAGCCTCCGCGGCTGCTACCTGGAAGAGCTGCACGTGTTGCCCCCCGGACACCATGAGCCACTGCTCAGCATGCGAATCCTGCACAGCGCCCGCGCACTCTTCGTGGGGCTGAGTGACAGGGTGCTGCGCATCCCGCTGGAGAGGTGCGCCTCCTACCGCAGCCAGGGGTAAGCTGTGCCAGGGGCGGGCCTCCCCTGTCCCTGCCAATCGTGCTTCGGGAGAGGCGCTTTGGAGTCTGTTGGACCTGGGGTAGCATCCTGGCACAGTCTCCAGCGACATGCCTTTGGACAGTCAGTGACTTAACCTCTCTGGACCTTGGTTTCCTTCTCATAACATCTCGGATAATCGGTATAAACCATTTGCCGCTGCCTGCAGGTGTGACGGTGGTTGCTATCCCTGTGGTCAGCCGGTAGTTAGAGCCCACTCGATTTCTTCTCAGCCCCTTCTGTTCAGAGTGCGGTCTTTATCTCTGAAACCACAGCATTTGTTTCAGAGAGGTGGGCGCAGACTGCAGGCCCCACTTTGAGTCACCACCCCACCCCCATTTTTGCTCCTCTTGCTTCCTTAGAAGAGGCACAGCAGCCTTGCTTGGGTGGAGTGGAGGTCAGGCACCGTGTGGACCCTTGCATACCCTTCCCAACTGCTTCCATGATCAGTCCTCTACACCTTGGCTTTGAGTGGATTCACAAATTTGGCAACAGTGACACTGACATTTAAGGGGGAAACAAAAGCTTATCCCACAGCCGAATGGAGATATAGCTCAGAGTGTGACCCTGTGAGCCTCCCCAAGCTGCACCCTCTCATTTTTAAGCTAATCAAAAGCTGCCTTTAGCTGGCATAGCCACAGCCCACACGGGCACCTGTGGCCTTTGCAACACAGAGACCTTCTGGCTGTGCCCATCTGTCCGTGAGATTTGGGAGACAAACAAAGTTTCTGCTGCCAGGGATTTGCCTCCAACCCCAGTGGTGCGCGCTGGGAGCCGGGTAGAGGCTGGGAGGGCAGGGGAAGAGTCTGGATAGTCCCACTGCGGGGGCGGAGAGGGCAGTGGGCAGACACACAAGCCCCCCTCAGCCCCAACACATGGCTCCATCAACAAACCACCAAACATTTGCTTAGCCCTAGTGTGTGCAGAGCACTCGGCAGGGCTGTCACTGAGAGAGGAGCTGGGCAAGATGAAATAAGCCTAGAAAACCTTCACTTTCCCCAGAGGTCTGAATGTGTGGTGGGGGCAGAAACCTTGGCTTGTGTCCGACACGTGGGAAGGGGTGGGGAGGTGGTGGGAGGGACTCGCAAGCTGGATCTGGGCACACCTGGGCTCCATCTCCGCTCCATACTTAACCATTTGAGCTTCAGCTTTTTCATCAGGAAAACAAGGGCAGGGGGAGAGCAATGGAGCAAACGATACTAAATTTTGGCCACGTTCTTGTAAGAATTGGGAATGATATTCCCAATTCTTACACCTATAGAAACACCTATCCAGTGAATCATAAGCGGTAGCTAGTGTCCTTATTCCTTTATTATCTCCAGAAACTCATCTAGGGGCCCCTTGGGCCCTCAGGAGTCTATAGTCCACGACCTTCACTGCAGACAGCACTGCCTGGCAGTGATCACAGGCTACCTGCCGACGGCATTCCCCCCACAGCTTGTGTTCTCTAACTCTCCTGCTGTTAGCAAACTCTTCACACAAGCCTTGCTCTTTAAGAGGTGATACGTCCTTAAAGGTAAACTCAGTGTCCCAGTATTTTTTATATTCCACCAGGAGGCCACACCCAGCCCAAGGCATAAAGAGGCCTTCCACGCAGGATCGATTCTTCTTGGTTTGGCCTGGAAGGAGGTTGGTGCAGGAGAGGAGTGAGGAATGAGACTGGAAAGTGGGCTGAGGCCAGCGGAGAATGCCAAGGGAGGATTTTGATTTGAATGCTGTGGCTGTGGGCACTGAAATGGTCTTTGAGCAGGGGGGTGAGTGACAGACAGTGTGAATGGGTGTTTTACAAAAATCAGGCAGACAGTGGCAGGCAGCGCTGTCGTGGGGCAGATGGTCGGCCAGCGCGAGCTGATGTGGCTCTAGCCAGATAAGAAGCCATGGGGTCTGCAGCGGAGCAAGAGGAAGACAGGTGCTGCCGGGATGCGTCCCCACCCGGGTGGCGCTGCAGAGTGGGGAGAGGCGGCTGCATAGCGTGGCCTGGTGGGACAGCAGTTAGAAAGAGGTCAGTCGGGAGTCTAAAACTTTTATCCTACTGGGCTCCTGAGTTTGGGATAAGAGCCATTTATGTGTACAGTAAAAACCTTGTCATAAAGCTATAGGTGGATGTACAAATGTAAAATGTGAAGCTTCATTATTGCACAGTTAACAAAAGGGCCAGAGTAAACCCACGCAGCCACCACACTGTCTCTCACACAGCGCACAATGTGTCTGTCAGAGCTGGCGTGTTACGGGCTGGGTCGACACAGGGTGTTTCCCAGGGCAGACATTTCATGCTTTTTCCCTTATGCCTTCCAAAGCTGGCAGGAGGATGGGGGTGGGTAAGCAGAGTCCCTTTAGGTCCCCTCCTCTGCCCAGAACCCTAGTCTGGCCAGAGAGAGGCCAGGGCTCAGAGGAGGAGGAGCAGAGGGAATGAACGCTGACTCGGCTCTACCAAGCAGGTGTTTGTGCATGAGCCACCCCCTTCCTCCGTCCAGCATGTCGTTCGGGCTGCACTGGAGGGGGTCGGCCTCCACCCCAGCTCCCCCAGGAGGGAGGCTCCCAGTGTCTCCTCCTCACCTCCCTCCCTGCCAGGGGGCCTTGGACCACCTCTGCTGCCATCTTAAAGAACAGCCACTTGCTCCCAAGTTCCTGGGACACTGTTGCTATGCTGGACAGCTCCCATTTAGAGACTTGCGGCCTGCTGCTGGAAACTGCCTGCTTGCAGCTGTGGCCATCCATCTCTGTCCTGCCTGTGAGCCCATGGAATGAACCTGTTCCCTTCTATAATGGCTGCTTGAGACATTGCAGTAAAAAAGACATGGTGATACATTATTGGTCTGACAGCTGCTTTTATGACAGAAACTCTAAACTGCCACCCAATCCTATGGCCAGAGACACACTTTAACTCTTCCCTGCTTGGAGCTTTAATTTTCTTAAGAATGTTCCCTGCTCTGTGAGCCTTGGAGTGGCTTTGGAGTGGCATTTGGCAATTGCAGCAAATGCAGACAAGTGAGCTCAGACACTAGCCCCAGGGCAGCCCTGCAGGCGCCCTCAGGCAGCCAGGGCCAGGGGCAGGACAGGGCAGGGGGGTCCTGGGGGTCCTGGGATCCAGGGGGTCCTCTCAGGAGAGGCTGAGAGGTTGAGGCTGATTAAGGGGCAGGGGGAGAGCAGGGCTGGGGCAAGCATCTACTCTAGGTTGCTCACTCTTATTCTGTCAGGGGTTGAGATACAAGGCACTTTATGTCTTGGCTTCGGAATGTTGATTAAAGTGGCCCTGAAACAGCAGTTCTCAGCCATGCTGTTCACTAGGATCACCTGGGGAGCACTTGGAAGACTCCAGTGCCTGGCCTAGTCTGGTCCAAAGGCCCAGAGAAAGTTGGGGTTTTTGTTTTGTTTGCTTAAGCTTTTTAAAAGACCCCCAGGAGATTCTACTTTGCAATCAAGACTGGGAACCTCTGTTCTAGAAGTGGCTGGGCCCGGGATGAGGGAAATGGCATGAGGCAAATTGCATTCCTCCCGAGTCTTCTGCTTTTATCTGTGTAAGCTAACTCAAATTTTCCACTCTTACTTATTTTCTCTACTGGCCGTCATTTGTTTTTGATATGTAACATTTTATTTATTATTATTAATAATCACTGGTCATGGCTAGTTCTCCCCTCCTCATTTTAAAAATGTAATGCATGCTGCTTATAAAGTGCAGTATCAGCTGCCTCTGGAGTTTGGTGCCCGTTCCTGAGAGCTGCGGAAGACACACTCGGGAGTGGGCTACACTGAGTTCTGACTGGTTGGATTTTGCTGGCAGCCAGTTTGGTCCAAGCGTCAGCAAGAGAGCAGAATCTCAAGACCACAGAGAGCCGGGACTGTGTTTACACATGCATTGCATTTAGTCCCACGACGCCCAGTTTGATGCATCCACTGAGGAAGTAGCCCTGAATCAAATCACTGGTCCGAGATGAGAACCTGAACACACTTACACTGTACAACGTGCACAGGTTGCGCTCGAGTGAATAAAGTGGAGACAGATTCTTGAGCAACACAAGAATATTCTGGATTCTTGGGTAGGCCAGAGTATGCTTCCTGGGGTCCAGCAAGGCCCTCACCTACTGATCCCCCAAGCATGGCCTCCCTTATACAAGGTCATGGGTCACTGGAACAAGGGACAGCATTGTCTTCTTTGACCTCCACTGATGACAAGAGGGAGCCCCACCCTCTTCTCCATAAGGTCTCTCATAAAACCTCTTTTCCCTCATCTGGTTACATGGTTCATTGAATTCACTAAAAATAAAGAACTCACCTGACAGGTGACTCTCCCTGAAGCCTCAAGGGAAAAAGAGGATTCTATTCTGGAGACAGCCAAAGGGCCAACCACTTTGAGTATCCCTTTAGCCCTTGACCTCCCTGGCTCCTTTGGCCAGTGGAAAGTTCCTCTGCAGACTCCACAGGGATGATAACAATGTCTTCCTTATTTGTTGTGTAAGTTCTTTCATGCATTTAAAGTGCTTACAGTGATGCCTGGCACACAGCAAAGTGTTCAGTGAACTTACTACTGTGGAGAGCAACTGGATGGAAAGGGATGCCCAGAGGGGAGTGGCCGGGTGTGTTACTGGGATGCAGGTGAGGCTGGGAGACCAGTGGGCTGAGTCTCAGGACCTCTGTCTGCCAGGGCATGCCTGGGGGCACGGGACCCGTACTGCGGCTGGGACAGGAAGCAGCAACGTTGCAGCACACTCGAGGACAGCTCCAACATGAGCCTCTGGACCCAGAACATCACAGCATGTCCTGTGAGAACCCCTCTGAGACACCCCCAGGACCTTTCCCCCCAACTCAGATTGTGACTCCCTGTCAGAATCCCCACATGTCCTAGGACCTGTGCCTTGCGTGACTGGACCCGGCCTCCGATGTGTGCCTGCAGGTGCGGAACATGACGCGGGATGGGGGCTTCGGCCCGTGGTCAACATGGCAGCCATGTGAGCACTTAGATGGAGACAACTCAGGCTCTTGCTTGTGTCAGGCCCGAGCCTGTGACACCCCGCAGCCTCGCTGTGGGGGCCGAGACTGCGTGGGGCCAGCCATCCACATCGCCAACTGCTCCAGGTATGCGGGGATACAGGGCTTGCTTGGCTGCTTTCTTAAACCGGAGCAGGGCATCCCCAGCCAGATGTTTGCACTAGTGCACAGAAACCACTTCAGGGCTGTGCAAGGGACAGGACAGGTAGCTAAAGTCTGAGGCAGGACACATGAGCCCTGGGGGAGTTTCCACTCTGGTGGGGGGGAAGTTCTGCCTTGTGGGGGCTCTTGATATTGTGTGAAAAAGAGGGCTGGACAGACATGGCAGTCACCTCCCGGACAGATCTAGCCTTAATAAGCCTTATTGTCCCAAACACAAGGGACAGCATGGCCTGGTAAGGCAGGCAGACCTAGTGCCAACCCTGAGTTGCCACTGTCTGGAGGTGTGGCCTTGACCAAGCCACCTAACCCCTGGAGCTTCCCTAAGTGAGGGCTACACTCCCCACCCCAGGAGTCACTGGGAGGGTTACAGGAGATACTGAAAGGCTTGCACGCCGCCTCGTACCTGGGGGCTCCATAAAGGGTTATAACAACTAACCCACAGTTCTGGACACTCTTAAAATAACTTAACTCTGTATGCATTCATTAACTGAACTGTCACAACCACCTCATGGTGGCAGGAATATCATCATTACTCTTACTTTGGAGATGAGAGTGTGGTGAAGCACACAGAAGGTTTTAGTGACTTGCCCAGGCTTATACAACCAGTCAGTGGTGGAGTCAAAATTTGAAAACTAGAGTCTAAGTAGACAGGAGTAAGTGGTGTACGAGGGTGGAGCAAAGCAGGCGCAGGAGTAGAACAGGAGAGGGCGCATGCGTTTGAGTGCAAGGGTCAGCCAGCCAAGAAGGCTGAAACACAGGTTGCAGATTGGAAGAGCGAATTGGGGCCTTCTCTAGAGAATGTATCCTTTTGCCCCTGTGAGTAGAGTCTATGTCCTGTCTGTAGCCTTATCCCTGAGCACAGCTGAATATATGCAGGAAAGCTCTCAAGACATGTTTGATGAATGAATGGACAAATGAACACATGAATGAATGAGTTTGCCTGAGGTGGCCTGGTTAGGAGCTGATATTTTCTGTCACCATCTGGCACTTGCTGACAACAAAATCCATCTGCTCAGTGTAGACTAGATCAGAGAAGTAGGGCTCAGAGGTCATCTGTCTCCGTCCCCTCCGACCCTGCCAGGAATGGGGCGTGGACCGCGTGGTCCTCCTGGGCCCTGTGCAGCACAACCTGTGGGATAGGGTTCCAGGTCCGCCAGCGAAGTTGCAGCAACCCTGCTCCCCGCCACGGAGGCCGCATCTGCGTGGGCAAGAGCCGGGAGGAGCGGTGAGCTGGGCTGTGGCTGGGGCCCTCTGAGACCTAGAAGTTGGTCCTGAAGTCCCAGAGTTTGGAGGGAGGGGTGTGGGCAGGGGGAGCTCTGCAGGAGATCCAGGGGACTCCAGCCCTTCCCAGTTTGCACTTCCAGCAACCTCTTACTCTCTTATTAGGGAAGGGGGTGCCTGCTCCCTAGAGTGACCCTCTCCCTTCATACTCCTCAGGTTCTGTAACGAAAACACGCCTTGCCCGGTACCCATCTTCTGGGCATCCTGGGGCTCCTGGAGTAAGTGCAGCAGCAACTGTGGGGGCGGCGTGCAATCACGGCGTCGAACCTGCGAGAATGGCAACTCCTGCCCAGGCTGCGGAGTGGTGAGGGTCAGGGCGGGTCCAGGGGGGACTGGGACTCGAGACCTGTAGCCAGCTGGAGGGCAGGCCAGATGGACCTCAGGGCAGGCCTGGGAGCTGCAGGCTATGAAACAACCCCGGCTCCTATCCCCAAGGAATTCAAGACGTGCAACCCCGAGGGCTGCCCTGAAGTGCGGCGCAACACGCCATGGACGCCGTGGCTGCCGGTGAACGTGACTCAGGGCGGGGCACGGCAGGAGCAGCGATTTCGCTTCACATGCCGCGCGCCCCTGCCCGACCCCCACGGCCTGCAGTTTGGGAGGAGAAGGACCGAGACCCGAACCTGCCCAGCGGACAGCTCGGGAACCTGTGACACAGACGGTACAGCCCCGCGCGCACCACACAGGCCACCCTTCTTCCCAGGTCCAGAGCAGTGGGGGCGGGGCGGGGCGGCGCGGCGCGGCTGGGAGCAGGAGCTCCGGATGGGGGGGCAGAACGCACGGTTTGGAGAAGCTCTTGTTGCTGAGGCCCGTCCTTCCACCCGCAGCCCTGGTGGAGGATCTCCTGCGCAGCGGGGGCACCGCCCAGCACATGGTGAGCGGGGGCTGGGCCTCCTGGGGCCCTTGGTCGTCCTGCTCCCGGAACTGTGAGCTGGGCTTCCACGTCCGCAAGAGGACCTGCACGAACCCGGAGCCCCGCAACGGGGGCCTGCCCTGTGTGGGCGATGCCACTGAGTATCAGGACTGCAATCCGCAGGCTTGTCCAGGTAACGCTGTGCTAATTAATCTTGGTTCAGATAAACCCCCGCCTAGGGAAACCTCCCCGCAGGGAACCCCCATCTGGGAGACTCCCAGCCCTACCCAGGCCACACCTCATGCTCAGGTGACCTCTTCTTCCAGCCGGATCGATACAAGCCGGGGCCCCAGAACAATTTGTTGCCCTGAACGTGGACTCAGCAGCTGCTCCCAAAGAGCAGAGCTTTTCCTCATCTTCCTATCACTTTTTTCTCTCCTCAAGTGGGCTAGCCTGATAAGGAGCTTGTTTTGAGTTAGTTTTTGATGCCTCCTCTGCAGCCTCCATTTCTCCCTGCCACCCCCACAGGGAGGGGCCTCTTCCTAACCCTGAGCTTTGTGAGCTCTGTGAGTGGGATGGGGTGGATGTTGAGGCCTGTGTGGCCCAGGGCAGGCATGGCCTTGCCTGGGATGGGGCAGGAGACTGTCTAGGGTCCTTCTAGCACCTGTAGCCCCCTTCACACGCCCCCATCCCCTTGTAGCTCGAGGCGCCTGGTCCTGCTGGACCTCCTGGTCCCCATGCTCAGCCTCCTGCGGTGGCGGCCACTATCAACGCACACGTTCCTGCACCAGCCCCGCGCCCTCCTCAGGCGAGGACATCTGTCTGGGGCTGCACACAGAGGAGGCACTGTGTGCCACACAGGCCTGCCCAGGTACTGAGTACGTCTGGCGTGGGCTGGGGAGCACCACGGAGCCCGCCAGTCCTCACCGGGGGTGCTGGGCCGTTAACCTCGTCCCAACCCACAACCCACAGAAGGCTGGTCACCGTGGTCTGAGTGGAGTGCATGCACCAAGGATGGAGTCCAGACCCGCAGCCGGCACTGTGAGGAGCTGGTCCCAGGGCCCAGCACCTGTGCCGGAAACAGCAGCCAGAGCCGCCCCTGCCCTTACAACGAGATTCCTGGTAGGCCTTCCAACCGCAGGCTTCAGCCCAGTGCTTCCCACTGAGTCCCCAATTTCCTTCCCCTTCTGAAGCATATATCGTGGGGTAGGGTGCAGGAAGGCACAGCAGGGTGGGAGGCACATGGCCCGCAGGTCTATCCCACAGCTCAGTGCTGACCCAGGGGTTCTCCTCCCAGAGATACACTGAGCCCGAGGGACCCCTGTCATCTGCTCCCTGCCCCAACACCCGCTCTGCTTCTCTTCCTGCAGTGATCCTGCCTGCCTCCAGCGTGGAGGAGGCCACCGGCTGTGGAGGTAAAAGGAACCTGCCCTCCCCACTTATGACACTCTCCTTCTACCCCTCCTCTTTAAGGAGGAGGCCCACCTTGCTTTGAAATCTGGAACTCCTCCACCTCCCGCTCCAGACAGACAAACCTTGTGGAGGTTCCTGCTGCTTTAGACCATGTGAAGGGGTTCTGGGCCATTTCATCCATGCCCCCCAACTAGGAGGCAGTCATCAAGGAGAGTATTCAAGAAGAGTCACCCAGTCCACATCCTCTGCTTGCCTGACACAAGCCATAGGTGGTCCTGTGACAGAGGTCCCTGGTGAGGGCTGCCCAGCCTGCTGTTTCCATTGGCTCTGGCCTCAAAGCTCTTTATACCTCTGAGCCTCCTGCTGGGAGGCAGTCGGAAGACTCTCCTCTGCTCAGTGGCCCTTCCCTTATCACTTACCTCTCTGTCCCCTCCACCCCCCAGGGTTCAGTCTCATCCACCTGGTAGCCACGGGTGTCTCCTGCTTCCTGGGCTCTGGACTGCTGACCTTGGCAGTGTACCTGTCCTGCCAGCACTGCCAGCGCCAGTCCCAGGAGTCCACACTCGTCCACCCTGCCACCCCCAACCACCTGCACTACAAGGGCGGGGGCACCCCGAAGAATGAGAAGTACATACCCATGGAGTTCAAGGTGAGAACCCACCTGTAGAAGCGGAGGACAGGGTGATGGGTACAGTGGTTCTGGCTCTAAGGCGGGCATACTGGGCTGGGCACTTGGGAGGGAGCAGAGGTGTTGTGAACAGATTCCTGTGTCAGCAGTTACAGTGTCCTTTTGTTCACTGGCTCCTGATCTCCTTGACCTGGCCACCCCCTTTCCTCACCTGTCCCTTCACCCCTTCTTTTGTCCCGTCCTCCTCCCACAGACCCTGAACAAGAACAACCTGAGCCCCGACGGCAAAGCCGGCTTCTGCACACTACAGCAGACCAACGTGTACACCGCCTACTACCCCAGCCCGCGGAGCAGACACGGCCTCCGGCCCGAGGCCGCACCTGGACAGCGCTGCCTCCCCAACAGCTGATACCGCCGTCCTGGGGGCTTGGGCTCCTTGCCTTCCTGAGGCACAGACACAGAGTAGCTGGAAATGGGACCTTGGAGCCAGTTTGGTTTTCTCCTCCTGCACTAGGCCAAGAACTTGCTCTCTTGCCTTGCCTTGCCTTGCCCGGGTTCCATCTGGCTTCAGAGAGCTCTGGCTGGCAGTGACCATGGGAGAGAGGGCTGGCTTCAGGCCGGCACATGGCTGCAGTTCCAGCTCAGCCCAGGTGTCTTATGGCCTCCTTTCGACTCACCACATGCTGACCTCTCCTGCTGTGTCTGGTTGTGGACCTCCTGGGCATGTGAGCAGCTGGAGAGTGGAGGTGGCAGGAGGGCAGGGTCTTAGGTTGGGGTTGGAAATGACAGTTGTGTGGCCATCATGGGCTGAGCCTGCCCCTCTCTGGCTGGCCCTGGGAAGGCCTTGAGCTACATCCTGTTTCTTTCTGAAAGAAATTAATCAAATGGCCCCAGAAGCTCTGGCCTCTTTGCGCAGGGCTGAGCCATTGTGGTGCTGCCCCAATGTGACAGAGGGACCAAGGCCGGCCCAGGTTGTCTACCTGTGCCTAGCAGTATGTACGTTGCCCAGGGACATACCTCTGGCAAGAGGCAGTGAGAACTGAGGACTAAAGACTCATCATTGCCGAGAAGCCTTTCGGTCTGGGCTGGTATACGCCTCAGCCTTGCCCTCAGAATGCACTAAAGATGGCCCAGGAGAAAAGGAGGCAGGAGCCCAGCCTCCATGCCCCTATGGAGACTGTCTTCCAGCTGCTGCTCAAAAGAGCTGTTGGTTGAGACCTGCTAGGGAGCCTCTGCTGGCCCCTCACCTGTTCAGGAACACACACACACAATCACAGCCTGCTACAGCAACAAAAAGGTGTTGGGCTGTGGCATTGTTAATTAAAGATGATATCCAGTCTCCAAATGGAACTTTGTCTTCGTGCATATGCGCGTGGGCTCCTCTTGGCGCGGTCTATTCGGAGTAAGGCACTGGGGTGGCAGATGGTCTTCTCAGGGGGAAGGAAATGACCCAAGCAGAGTTTGACTTCAGTAGAGGATATCTTTCCATTTGTGAATACAAACACACACATTGCCCTCAACTGTGTTTGGAAGAGAGATCAGGGGCAAACAAATCCACAAGCGGCAACACAGTTTGTTGCTTGTGGGCAAGGTGTGCCCACAGCAGGAAAGGTTTCTGTCTGTTCTCTTAGCAGCTCTTCCAAGCAACAGTTCCAGAGAGGAAATGCATGAGTCCAGCAGGGGAATATTGGTGAGGGTTTTTTTATGGGGTTTTTACAATGCTGAGTTTAATAACACCAAAATTGACAAGAAATGAGTAAGCCTGTGAGGTGGAGGAAGCCCCATGCAGTTTTTGCTAGATTAAATAAAGATCACCTCAAAGTCTCAGCCCACCAAATCAGCACTACTGTTTTGGATGAGAATGATGGACATGTTAAATTTAGAGAGCAATTTCCTGACTTAATAGGTTGGGTCACAGGATTCTAAGCAAAATCTACTTGTTGGTCAGGCTGTGATCCTCGTGGTAGAGGAGGAATAAAAGGGTATTTTGTTGGACCCCAGGTCCTGGAATCCCATGCTTACTGGGACAACTGAAAGAGCAGTGCCCTCAGGCCGGGAAGAGTGCAGGCAGAAAGCTCAGGGGACAAGGAGTATTTCTGAAGCTTTGGGATTTCTCACTGGGTTCCTGTTAGTTCCATGGCTGCAGACCTTGTGGGGGCCTGAGGGTGTGTGTTAGATCTTGGGGTCTTGTATTCCCTTGGACCTGGTAGAGCCAGTAGAGTTCGAGTGTTTGAGGGCCCAGTGTGCCTGCTTCCCAAAGGCCACTCATGTACGTCCAAGTAGGGGGACTAGATATGTCTGTAGGAAGCAGTCATAGAAAAGGCCCAAGTAATGCCCACCTCCAATTGACTGGAATGGCATCAGGGGGAAGAAATCCATGGTGCCATGGCAAAACTCTTTTTATAAAAACTTGTGTTTTTGGAGACATGCCCATTCAGATCACACGAAGGGATCCATACCATGCAAAGCAGCTTGCACGGTTGGCAAAGGCTGTTCCACAGCCAGCCCTGGCTCAGAGATGAGGAAGCTAGGGATGTGTTTCTTGACAAGGAGGGTGTGGTACTTTCTGGCAGGTGCTTGAGGCCACACAGGTGGCTGTATGGTGTCTGGAAGCGGAGATATGAGAGGTAAGGGGGCTTTATGGGCCCAGGCAGCTTAGCAAGAGATGGAGGAAGATGCATGGTTGGGTGTCCCAGGCCTCAGTAACTGTGTGTGTGCTTTCTTACTATTAAAATAATACATGTTCATTACAGAAAATTTAGAGGATACAGGGAACGAAAACATATAATCAGTTATATTAAAAACCAAGACAGAGACTTAGGGATTTAAATGGTGGGGTAAAGACATTTCTTCCCCTTTCTCTCAACAACACTCCAAAAGCAAAGAAAACAATAGCTCTGTCACTATTTTCAATAAAACTAGAATGTCTCTGTAATCCCAAATCATAACACATGAAGACAGAAAGCAGGTGGAGGAACTACAGTTGTCCAGTGGAGTGGATGTAGGTCAAACCTAAGCATGAGAGCAACATCAGAACGAATCAGCAATCGGAGGAATCAGGCATTGGGAAAGGTGAGGTTAAGATGGGAGCATGAAAGAGAGGGGCTGGTTAAAAATCTCATGTGTTGACCTCAGCTAGACCCTCAACCCGTCTTTATTTTGAACTTTTACAGTCAGGTCACCATTCCTCTGTCTCCACAGGGGCAATATATATGTTCCCCTGAGACACTGAACCAGAGACACCCTGGACATGGAGATACCAGGCACCGAGGTGGGTGTGTGGTGCAGCCTGTTTGGAGAGCTGGCGACTGTGTGATTATCAAGGGGATTCAGCAGTTGCCTTTTCCAGCTAACTCCAAGACTCTGGCACCCAGGTTTCTCCCCCTCCTGCTCTGCACAGGAGATTGGGAAAGGATTCTTTGAAGAAATAAATCAAGCCTATGGACTCAGAAAAAATGAGCCAGCTAGTCATCCATGCAACAGTCTTACTGTTACAGGGTGCAGCCAAGAAGGGGGACCCCAAATGGGCATTTAAAACGGGGTCCAGAACTCAAGGTGTCCAAGAGATTTTAAGATGTCTCCATCCCCCCCACCCAGGGTGTGGGTTGGGGGAAGGGACAAATGGAGCAAGGCCATTGAGATCTGTTTTGCATAGCAACAGCCTTGCAGCTACCCTCTGGTGTGGTCATTTAACATATCTATAGCCTTTGGCTGGTCGCTTAGATATGTTAAATAGCTGTGATCATCTCTGAGCCAGGGGAATGGAAGTAACTTCCCCACCAACACGTGACTGGGGGCAGATCCCCCCAAGCTACAGCGCCTGCGCTCAGAGGAGATTGGCTCCAGGACGTGGGGCCACATCTGCCCAGACTCAAGATAGCAGACCAGTAAAGCTAGAAGGATATGAGTTCTGGCATGTGAAGCAGAGTGTGGGAGGAGTCGGAAATGAGGCTGCAGAGGAAGACTGGCCGCGGGGATTTAAAATCCAGACTTGGTAGCCATTAGGAGAGAACTATGCGCAGCCCTGAGAGAAAGAACCATGTGGCTGTGGAGGTGCAGAGAGGATCACGGCCATTGAGAGGAGGAAGAACCGTGCTGCTTTAGGAAGGTGAACCATGCGCAGCCCTGAGAGAGAGAACCACGCAGCTTTGGCAGAGTGGGGACTCTCCCCTTCCTGCAGCCCTGAGAAAGAGAGCCATGCACAGCTTTAGAAGGGGGAACCACCACCTGGTTTTAGCAGAGACCCCGGCGACTCAGCCGAGGGTGCCGGGAACCCAGGGAGGTCTCCCAGTCGAGATGGAGGACTAACTAAGAACCAGAGGACTGTCTGAGCAATGGACTTCTATTTCCTTTCCTGAGATACGGTACTCTGGACTGGGCAAAGGGGGAAGGAAGGAAAGACTGTCACTGTGTTTGTGGGTGTTTTAAGGGACTTTGGGATTTTTGATAAAGACATTAGGTCACTACTTTAAGTTCGTATAGCATTAAATAAACATTTCCTTTCCTTTTCACGAATCTCTGGCATTGAGAGATGTCTTTCCTCGGGCGGCGGACATAACGGACCCGGGGCCTTCTTTCAATAATAGTATATTGTCTCAGGCCCCCCTTGTTGTGTTCTGTAACATTACAGCTAAGTACACTCACTAACAAGTGGTGCCCAAGTACGAAGAGCACCGGCACAGACATCGGAAAAAGTGCCAACGTGAAAGACGATCTAAGCAAGTAAACAGATAAAGAGGAATTCAATGAAATTGGAAATGGTATATGGAGAACATGTCAAAGACACCATAGTTCTTCATAGTGAATGAAGCTATTGCATTCATAAAATAATATAGGATGCAATAAAAAGAACAAATTAAAGCCCTTAGGAATGAAAAAGAAATATGACAGCAGAAAAAAATTAGTAAAAGCATTTCAAGATAAAGAAAATTTCCCAGAAAGTCAAAGAGATGGAAAATAGGGGAAAAAAAGGTAAGAAAATTAGAGGATTAATCTAGGAAGTCTAATAGCCCATTGAAAACTCAAAGGAGGCGCCCTGGCTGGGTAGCTCAGTTGGGTAGAGTGGCATCCCTAAACATCAAGGTTGCAGGTTCAGTCCCAGGGCAGGGTATATGCAAGAATCAACCAATGAATGCATAAGTAAGTGGACATCAGTCTCTCTCCCTTTTTTTTCTCTAAATCAATACATGAAATTGTAAAAAAAAAATTAAGGGAGGAAATTATCAGAGAAAGAATATGGGAAAATTTGCCACAATCAGTACCTAACACCATGGTGAGGAAGATTTACCCCAACGCACATAAACCTGATGTTTCAAAACATCAGCTTTGAAGAGAAGATTTTAACAACAGACAAAAGTGATTAGGAATAAGAATGGTATAAATCTCTTACTAATGAGACTTCAAGTTAGAATACAATGGAAATTATCCTCAAAATTATGGGAAATAATATTTTGTTGTGAATTTTATACCCAGCCAAACTATGGGCCATATGAGAATAGAATAAAGACATTTCCAGGCATGAAGGCTCAAAAAATGTATGTCACATATGCTCTTGTTTCACTAAACCAAAAGAGTAAACAAAACGTGGATCCAAAAGAAAGGGGGTCTAACCCAGGGAGGGGGTGAGGAGAAAGAGTTGGCTAATAGACCACAGGCCTAGAGGGCAATGACACAGGTTAGGAGGACAGCCCGCACCCAGAGGAAAAACTGGGACAATCAGACTATCTGGGAGGTTTGCCTAGAAAATTGTATGAAGATTTATTTTATAAAACTGTTAGGTGTATGGAAAGACAAATTAGGATTAAAAAAAACTATTAAAATAAAACAGGCATTTTGGGGGGTTCTTGTTGCATAGTTTATTTTTAAAAACGTTTTAAAGAATAAAACAAAGTCTAGAGAATCAGTACAAAAGTACAGCCTAGTGAATATAGGACAAATACCTTTGTGACCATCACCCAGTTCAAGAAATAGAACTTTGACAGACACTCCAGTTTCCTTTCTTCTGTCCCAGCCCCCTTCCTCAAAATAAGATAAGATAAGATAAGATAAGATAAGATAAGATAAGATAAGATAAGATAATTATTAACACCAGAAACAAAAGAGCATACAGGATGCCTTGGCTGGGTAGTTCAGTTGGTTAGAGCATTGTTCCCATATGCCAAGTTTGCAGGTTCGATTCCGGGTCAGGGCACATAGGAGAATCAATGAATGAATTAATAAATAAGTGGAACAACAAAATCGATGTTTCTCTTTCTCTCTCTCTCTTCCCCTCCCTCCCCCTTTCCTTCTCCCTTCCTCTTGCTATAAAATGAATAAATTAAAAAATTTTTAAA